AATAATTTGGCCTTGAACATTTTAACAGAACTTGCAAACTAGAATACAGTAGTCCCTCGCTACTTTGCCGTTTGTGTATCGCGGATTTGCTGTATTGCGGTTTTTCAAAATAAGATTGGACATGACACACAATTGGCAGATGGATGGATAAGCTGCACAATCTGCATGAAATTTTTATTTAAAATAAATTATTTTAAATTATTTAGCACCTGCTGCACATTTGTGCAGCCCAGAGCAGCAGAAAAAGCTTCCTCCTGCAGCTGTGTGCAGCCCTTAAACCTCCAGTAAACTTGGGCGTACGTCAGTCCAAGGAGGTCCGTGCGTACCAGATTAAAGTTGAAGTGGACGCCTGCAGGGCATGCCTGTGCAAAGCTCAATTTTTACGACCGCATACACGGTTTTGCTAAAAGGCAAGCGATCTCTTGCTCCTCCTCTGTTGACGCCATGACTGAAATTGTGAGAAATGAAAGAATTTGTCAAAAGCAAATTTAAATCAGGTCCAGCGTGGCTGCGGGAGGGTCTGGAGATTTCCCGGTGGGCTGGTCTGATGTGTGGACTGCAGGGCCAGCACTCCCTGTTTTTTTATTGTTTTTTTAGAATTTTTTATTAACAACATACAGTATAAACACAGAACACTGCTGTCGTTGGGGCTGCCAGCTCTCGTTTTTTTTTGGTGACCAGTCAATCAATCCAGTTGATGTGTCAGCAAATGACCAATTGACAATCTCAATTTGTCCCGAAGGTAAATGCCCCTTGCCTGCGGAGCTAGTCTGCAGTCGCTCAGGGTGGACGCTCGAGTATGAAGTCTCAACCCTCTGCGGACAGTGTGTGTCGAGTCCGTGCGGAAAAAGGTCCATGCGAGTATACTGGAGCCTTTACTGATGCAGGATAAACTTCCTGCTGCAGTTAAACAGCTGATCAGTTGTTAAGTGGGCAGAGCAGAGAAGTGGGCGTGGTCAAGAGCACTTGTAGCAAAGAGCAGAGCAGGAAGGGAGCTGAAATCATGACATTCTGTGCTCTTTTAGAGCTTTAGAGTTTAGAAACATTGTTTAGAATATTGCAAGAGTGTGGGAAGGGTTCAAAACACCTATATATATATATATATATATATATATATAATAAAATAAACTACTACTTACTATTTGTACTACTATTCCCACTTTGCGGTTTTTCCCTTATCGCGGGTCTTCAGGGTACGATAAATGAGGGACTACTGTAATGTGAAAGTGTGTTCTGCATACGACTGAGAGGAGGACACAAATCACCAGTGTTGTATGCATCACAGTTTGATAACCATGACTCAGTCATAGTCACATCATAGACTTTGTTCAAAGCAGCCATTTTGACCTTAAAATAAAAGTAGGCAAATACAGGTGCATTAATGAACGCTGAACTTCACTCCTGCAGCTGTGCATGCTGTATCTACTCTTTCAAGTCAAAATGCCAGACATAAAATAGGCACAAAAAACAAAACAAAGACATTTATTTAGCATTATGTTATCCCTGTTGAATTACTTTTACAATGTTTTAACGATGCCTTTAGGCCTCCGGCTTACTGACTTATAGAAAACCTCAGTGTAGGACCAGCCAAGGAACAAGACAAATAAACCCTCCAGCTGAGAGGGTTGATACTGAGATATAGCCCTGGGTCAGGGCAGCGAAGCTTCATTACCGTCAACACAGCACCTGTGTGCTTTGATAACCTCCCCTTCTGCAGGCCATTACGTGGTTATGTGCCGCCTCACAGCTTTCTGAGACGACTCCAGAGGTACAAAGAGAGTGGAACAAAACACTTTCTACCTCTTTAAGTCTTTACGCCCTCTTTCTGTGTTACTCTTAGACAGTTGGCCTTAGTGTTCACCAGACCTTTGAGTCATCTCTGAGGTGCTAGAAGCCAGAGATGCAGTGTGATAGCTTGAAACCAGTAAAATGCTTCATTTTGTTCAAACAATGAGATATATCCTGTTTAAGTAGAATGAGACATGTGGGAGGTCAATAGAGATTTTGATTTGGGTCGTAGATTCATTTCTGAGCTTTAATATATTTTACCTGTTTGGCAAAAAAAGTTCAGTGAGCTCTGATTGCCTGCAAGTCCACATAATGGCTCTGTATCGCAAAATAAACTGTAGCCGGAAAAAAAGTATAAAAAGCAGTAACTTATCCGTAATGAGGCTGGGATTATTTTAGGACGACAGCTAAACAACATGGTGCTTTGAGCGTCACGACAGTTTAGACACGGCAATCCGGTGAATCACCACAAGTTGACTGTTGTTTCGCAACTATTTGAACAAAATTTGCTTTTATTTTCGGAAACGGCACGAGAGTAGGTTTGGAGGCTGCTTCATGAGGAGCAAATCAAAAGAATTATTTCTGATTATACATTGGTTAATGATAATTCCCACATCTTCCTCTGTGAGCCATAATTAGGCACAGTAAACAGGATGACAAACAGAAGAAGGCTGATCCCAGGCCATCAATTACACGTCCTCCTTCTTAAACTCTGGCTGTGCACGGAGGCTAATTATTGTTATTAGAAACGTGCCCAGTAGTTCATCCATCTGCTGCACATTTAAGTTTACATTTATAAAGGAAAAGCAGCTACTACTTATAAATTATATATATATAAAGTAAACTGCTCTTACAGTACGTACTGTTTTTGTGTTATAAAACATTTAATATGATTTTGCTGTATGATCTTAATCTCAGAGACTTACAGATGATCAGATAAATGTGACATACAGTGAATTCACACTGCTTCCATAAAAGAGACTTGTCCTTCAAAGTGAACAAATTCACCCATTTGTGCATTTGCTTGTTGATGTGGCCGACAGCTCAACATGTTCACAGTCTGATAAAGTAAATGTGCTCGGTGAGAGCTAATATCAGCGTTATAAAACAACAGCAGGGATTTATTTAATTTGTATGATTGTGGAGTCAAATGGCTTCTCTCACTGATGAAAGGGAACTCTGAGCTTTTAACGTGCACGGTGTGACTGTACAGCACAATGTTTGGAGCTTAAGACTGGCCTGTCGAGCAGAAAGCAAGTGGACCCAGGTGTACAGTAATGGCAGAGTAAGGAAATAAAAGGGGGTTGGAGGGAGGCGCACAATAGGTCGTTTAAAAAGAACCTGTGGATGAAAGTCAAAGAAGAAGTAGGAGAAGGTAGTGATTTATTTTGCATTGATTTGTGCCTTTTAGTGTGTGATCTGTAAAAACGTTTACAGGAGAAACTTGATGAAAATGGAGATATTGAACACATTTAAAATTATGCAACTACTAAAGATGAACAACACTTATTTTTAATGAAAGGCCTTGAGTTTTTTGAAGAAATGCATGTCGCCCACAAACTTCAACGCCAGAATTTTACACTAAAATCGTCCTATGATGAGAAATAAGTTTCAGCTATTTTGGTCAAAACTTGAAAATGATATGTATGATCCAATGAAGTTAAGTCAAGTCCTCTGGACAGTTTCTTTGTGTTGAAACGTTTCATCTTTGATCCAAAGGACTTCATCAGTCCAAGGAGCCACAACAAACTCAGTCCCACAAGCCGCGCACTCACATAGTGGGCCAACCAGTTTGCTGGTGATAAGATGGTTTCTGGAGTCCACCCTCTCCTCGGTCGACTCCTCTGAAGCAGCCATGACCAAAGTGGTTCAAAACATCAAAGTTCATGCTCAATAATGCAAAATTATATTTAAAAAAAAAAAAAGATGAAATGTTCAACACAAAGAAACCATCCAGTGGACCTGACTGAACTTTGTTGGATTTTTTTACTTGGATTATTGAGCATGAACTTTTGTTATGCATGATCTCAATCCTGCCAGAGGTAACGCTCAAAATATGTTACTGATTCTCAGCCACATGAATTTTTATGCAAATATTTGTAAAATTGACTGAGTAATGGATATGTTTGTTAACTAAGGTTGCTACCATCGTGAATGGGATATATACACAACAGTTAATGTCAAAGTTATAAGCACAGATTTTGAGTGAATAGCACATGAATGACACTTGGTGATGATGTGAATGACTCATACCACCACAACACATTTTAATGCAATTTGTGTTTTTTAACATAAATTGGCCGTGGCAGCCCTCTTGAATCAGGTTCACTCCAAAAGTAAATCAGTTGAACATGTTCATCTAATGATTAATTTCTGGAAGTTTCATTAAAATTTCTTCTGTGGTTCGTGAGACATTTTAGTGATGAACACAAACACACGCAGAGAAAAACAATCAACTTTCAGAGGGAAACGGTGTGAAACAAAAGAGTAACTGCTCCTTTAATTAGCTTAAAGTTTAAGTACATGATAGTTTACATATATTATTTAATTGTACAACTTTTATACTTTTGAATATATTACCAAAAAAAGAGGAAAGAAGAGGAAGAAAGGTATGTGGGATTTTATTCAAATTATTATTTTCTTGAAAATGTTTATGTAACTGATCAAAACTCCTAAAATCACTGATGAAGAATTATTTAGCAGAATAAACAACTTTATGAATTCATCAAATACAAAGATAAAGAGGAACAAATGTAAAATCTGTAATACAGCTGACTACGAAAAGTCAAACATGCAAATTTAACAGTAACAAAACCAGATAAGCTTATTTTTTCCTTTTTTTTTATCTTGAAAAATAAGATATTGGTGTTTTTATTCTGTAAAGCTGATAAATGCACACAGACAATAACTGTAGATATAGAACCGTCTACAGCATGAGTGTAGCGATGAGTCACACTGAAGCAAAAATGTTTCATTCTTCCTCAACAGATCATTCATTACAAGCTAAATACAGATCTTTTACACGCAAATCTGCTCAAAAAATGTGCTTTTAAAGAAAATTTCAGGTAATCATGTTCTTGTAGAGACAAAAGTGGAAAAGAGCAATGTTGTAGGAGAGGCAAAGAAAGTGCTACAGTGCGTGTATAATTACTGACAAAGGTCTTAGAGGAAAAGTCAGAGGGTACACATTAAAAACCATTTCAGCTCCTCACCTGACAAGCCACCCACGTCCATTTTCTTCAGGTTTTTGGCCTCCAGAATGACCACAGTCAGCTTGCCTGCAGTGGGAACGTATCGTAGGGAGAAGCAGATATCCCCCAGCTTCTCTTGCTGTTGAGAGACACATCACAGAAGGTCACAACAGTTTAAACAGCAGCCACAAAATCTAAATTTACTTTCTGACAGGCTATCAATAAGGTCAGAACAAGTGCAGAGGAGCTCTTCAAATTGGACTTCTCAACACTGCTTCTGCTTGTTTGTTTCAGTCCTTCGCAAGCAGAACGATGAGAGTCGAAGCTTTTGATGCTCTTATATAAATTTGGTCCCTTGATTTGGTTTAAATGCTCCTAAATCAAGACCCCCCCCCCCCACCCCCACCACCACCTCTACTCATCACTTTGCTGGAAAAGTGCTGCAATCACTCCATCTCTTCACACAAATCAGCATCACAACAGCGCCTCAGTGTGATGCACTGCAGAGAGAAGCAGCCGTGGTCTGAACTTCTCCATGACCAACATGATGAACAGGAGCCTCTTGGGTCACACCTGCTTCAAGTGTGGCCATTTTGAGATTAGAAATCAGCAGCAAAGCAGACCTGAAAATTGATCCTTGGCTGGTTGCAGGAGTCTTCCATCAGGGTCCAACCAGAGCATGCTGCCTTGCATAGATCCAGAATAATTTAAATGACTGCAGTGTGCTTATTATGCATAGTCAGGCTGCAACAAGTTCAGGCAGGGAATCCAGACACTCCTCTCCTCAGCAACACTCTTCAGCTACTTTTAGGGGAAGCTCAAAGCATTCAGAGGCCAGAAAGGACATCTAATCCCTCTGGTGAGTTCTTAGTCTGCCCCAGTGTCTCCTCCTTGTGGGACATCCCTGAAAACCTCCAAAAGGAGGCGTCTAGGAGGTATCCTAATCAGATGCCTGGGCCAACTCAGCTGACTGCTTTTCATACGAAGGAGCAACGACTCTAATCCCGAGCTCCCCCCAGATGACGCAGCACCTCACCCCATTGATAAGGCTCTGCCTGGCCACCGTACAAAGCAAACCCTTTCAGCTGCTTGTATCCAGGATTTTATTTTGGTCATGATTCATCCTTTATATTATAGGTGGGGGTTGAAACTTATACGGACCAGTAAATTGACAATGTTGTATTTCCACTCAACTTTTCCTCACCAGGATTGACCAAAGCAACGCCCTCATTACTGCAGACAAGGCCCAGATCTGTCACTCTACCCCCTGCTCCATCCTACCTTGACTGTTAAAGTAAGTAGTTACTTGGGTATAAATTTGTTAATTACAGGTGCATCTCAAAAATTTGAATATTATGAAAAAGTTTAACGTTTTTGTCAGTCATTTCAGAAAGTGAAACTCATATTGATTCGTTACACACAGAGTGGAATATTTCAACCCTTTATTTCTTGTAATTTTGACGTTTATGGTTTACAGATGATGAAAAAGCAAAACTCAGTGTCTCAGAAAATTATTATATTGTGACGAGGTTCAGTATTGTAAACTCCTGGTGTCACACCCTGATCAGCTGATTAACTCCTGGACATGAGCTACAAATGTCCAGTTCCTCAAGTCGAGCCACTCCTGAACCAGAGACGTCAGAAGCATCTTACCTGACTGAGGAGACAAAGAACTGGACTGTTGCTCAGTGATCCAATGTGCTCTTTTCAGATGAAAATACATTTTCATGTAATTTAGAAATTAAGGTCCCAGAGTCTGAAGAATGAAGAACAGAATCCACATTGTACCAAAGCTGCCTGTGGAATATTCTCATTTTATGAGACACTGCATTCTGTTTTTTCTTTTTTTGTAAGCCATAATCATCAAAATTGCAAGAAGTATTTATTAGAGTTATTAGAAGTATAAGTACAAGAAGGCTTGAAATATTTCACTTTATGTGTAATTAATCTATTTAAGAGTTTCACTTTCTGAAATGACTGAGCAAAAATTGAACTTTTTAACAATTTTTTTTTTTTTAAATGCACCTGTAAGTATTTAGTCTCTCAGTTATTCGTATTCAATTTGTAAATTAGTTAAAACGATAAATAAAATATTAACATTTAATTTTCAAAATTATCCCCGTAGAAAGTGACCAAAATTCATTTTGAAATGTCAAATTTAAAAATTAAAATGAATTAGCAGAAGTTTACAAATTGAGCAGTCTTGGAGAAGAAAATGAAAATGATGTTCAGATGATTTATTTTAATTTTATTTATGAGTCAAAACATGCAGCTTTATTTTGAAAATGAAAAGCATTTCTATTAATCCATTTTAATTTGAAAATTGAGACATTTTCACTTCCATACTCAATAACCTCTGCTTTTATAATGACATGGGGTTGAACGACTACATGATTTTTAAACTCGACATTAACATAATAAAACTTGAGTAGAACTCGAGTATTTGATGATGTCATAGGATGCAAAAATGGAAGATGCAAAAATAAATAAATAAATAAAACCGCAAAAAAAGTAATTTATTATTTACAAAAAAAAAAAAAAAGATTGGGAGCATATATTATGCTCCTACCATTTATCATACTGCAAATAAGTCACAGGAAAACCAAAACTATTAGTTATTATTATTATGCTGCAAAAGTGAAAGAAACGTGCGGCACGTCAAAAATGAAACTAAAAACAGTGAGGCGGGCAATCACCCTGCACCACCACCCATAGTGATGCGCATTAGGTTTAGTTTTATAGATTAATATGTTTATAGGTTTTTTATAGGTTTAGCGATTAATTTTTTTTGCTTTTTGTTTGTGAAACAAGGTCAGAGGAAGCTGGTTCTTGTTCGGTCAATGGACCCAGTGTTACACCATATTCTGTGACCTGCAGCAGTGCATGCAACACCGCCCCCTAGGGTCACAATATACGGTGGTCACAGAATATGGTGTAACACCGGTTCGCAACGAGCTCCAAACAGTAAGGAAGTTGATTCATTTTCTGTTTCCTTATGGTAGTTGAACCGGAACATTCATCTTTAGTGAAATATTTCCATACTATTGATGTATTTCTACCTGTTTTCCAAGACTGGGCCTGCTCCGCTCCATCCGTCTGCTTTGAGGAATCCATTTTGTAACCCGCGCCTGGTGCAGGTCACGTGACGTGACGCAATAACATAACGACGATGTCATGACGTCACCACGAATACACAACGTGAAATTTAAAAACTTGATAGATGTCCTAGAAATCGATGTGTTGATTACTTGAGTAGTCTGTTAAAGCCCTAACAATGACTTATTTAAAATAAATAAAATATCTTAGTTTAGTGTCTCACATCCTTTATCGACTCTTATATAGTGGGCACCAAACAGGGTGGGCACTCTTATTATTTTCTATGTATAACAGAAAATATGAAGACGAAGAGAGACCAGATGGCCACTCTATCAATACCAGAATGTTCCTAATTGTTCATTCGACACGAGAAGAGAAAACAATAAAAGGTTTCTTAAAATCAGGATATTTTCTGAGGGAGGAACACAAAGCATTGCTCCAGCATCAAATGTTGCTGTAAATTCTTATGCAAACATATCTTAATGTGATAAAGTGACTCCCTTCAGCTAAAAGAAATGAACCCCCAACCAACCTACTTATGGCGTTATAATTAACCTTCAAATCAACCCACCATAATACTAAAAATAAGGTTGGCAACATGTGCTATATGCCATGACATTTACCATGAAAATTGAATCTCCTGAGCTGCTGCTTGGAAACACACTTCTATTAATTGAATGGGAAGTGTGGACATATGATTAAGTGACATTTCCAGAAGGGATGGATTACATCAGCTATGGCGGTGTGCTCGTGTTACAAGCTGTTGCAGGGTAATGGTTCTAATATCACTTATGCACTAAAAATGCTGTTATTACTAAAACAACAGTGATTACATGTTCCAATCTAAGCCTTAGCATGAAACCTCTGTCTCATAATGGTTTTACACCCATTTTCATTGTTTTTGTGTGTTTGCCTGCACAGATCCTGAGTCTTACCTCCTCCTTCTCAGCGCTCTGCAGATCCCGCCACTCCTCCGTTATGTGGCTGAAGTCCACCTTGTTCATGGGCACCTTGATGTCACCGATGGCATCATGTTTGGAGAAGCGGTCGAAGTCATACACTGTCATCACCAGTGTTTTCCCACCAAGCTCTACGTAAGGGACCTGAGGAGAAAAGAGCATAAGAAGTGAATCGTATCTTAAGAAAAGTGAGTTAGTCTTTTTATAATTATGAGTAAGATAAATATTTAATCATCCAGATTAAGGCCTAACTACACTACTCTGTATATGTTTAAATTGATTGTTTATATATATATAAATATATATATGTATAGGTGTTAATATGTTGTGTCAATCTGTGACATTTTAAGGACAGAAGAGCCTGAGAACAAGTTTGAAACTGAGAAAAATGCTGAATATTTTGGAAGAATTTGGAAAATAACTAGAAATAGGAGTTGTGATAATAAAATACAAAAGTGTACAAAGATTTTTATCACAGCACAATATGACTTTATAAAAGATATATGAAACAAGTAGGCCTATCACGATAACATATTTTGCTGGGCGATTAATTGTCTCGAAAATTATTGCGATAAACGATAATATTGTTTGAAATTTAACAGTAATTAAAAAAAAAAAAAAAAAAAAAAAAAAGAAATTTAACAGTAATTAATTGTCAAATTTGAGAAGAAATGTTGATTTGATTGGAGTGTAGTACCTTTTTTGACCACTTGATGGCAGTATAAGACTGATTGAACCAAAGGATGGATAGCTGAGCAGCATGTCTCTTTAAGAAAAATGGGAGGGAGGGTCCTTGACGTGACATGGGCTGACATGGTGACATGACGGACGCTCGATGATTTGAGTTCTTTAGCATAGCATTTTTCATACAAAGTTTTTAATTAAAAAAAAAATATCAGTAAACAAGTTCTCAGCTTCTATATGCAGAGATAAACAACTTTTTACATGAAGGCACGTGTTTCAACTGTGAATTTTGGAGCTTCGACAAGACGGAGGTTTTTTCCCCGAGGTCGGCCTGTTAGCTCGTAGCTTAGCTTCTCAGGTTAGCTACTTTTAACCATCCAAAAGCGCAATTTTGGATGGTTAAAATGGATTTTAAAGAGAAAGGGAAGGGTCAGTGAAGAGCACCGGAGTTGAGCCTTTTGTCATCCAGTGTCTTCAGTAGAACGAGAGACGCGAAGAAACGTTAAAGCCGATAAATGAAAATGAGGTAGATAATTTTCATTCATCATGTGATTAATTGATTTATTGTTTATCGCGACAGGCCTAGATGCAAGTGTAAAACGGAGGCTGGAAACTTTTCCTCACTGCAATATAACCTAACTATAATAACTTGCAAAAAGATGTGAAGCTGTCCACTTTGACCACTTTATGGGATTTTAAACAATTGATAAGTTCAATAGAAAAATCAAAGCAAACATGTTCCTGTTTTTAGTATTTTACCTTGTTTTATAAGGCACCGTGATTTGACTTTGTTTTATAACACAAATTTTTATTTTTATTTTATTTGCATTTTATTGTCGTCTATTGTTTTCTGTATCTCATCTGGGTTCTTTGTTTAAAACTGGTCTCTTGTAAATGAGTCCTCGTGACTCAGTGAGACTAACCTGTATATAAATAGAGGTTGAATGAATGAATAGTATCACGAGGGGCTTAGTAAAACTATTCTCTTTAAATAGTCAAAGTTTAAGTATTTTCTTAACTAGTCTGTTTGTAGACTGACCTCAAACAACAAATGTACAAAAATAAAATTATACTATGACCAGGTTGATTTTAGATGCCAGGTTTATTTTAAGACACGTCTAAGGGACTAAATCTCTATTGTTAAAAAAAGAAGAAAAAAAAGACAAAAACTGTTGGTTCAGTCGTTACGACCTGTGAACCTTTTTTTTTGTTTGTTTGACTGACGGACCCAGAATTTCGTTTTCGCACCTGATTTAGTTTTAATGTTTTCATTGTATTGTGTCAATGCAGAAACACTGGATAATTCAGAACTAGGGATGCACAATATTAACGGCATGGTATCGGTATCTGCCAATATTATCGATTTAAAACACTTCTGTTTTAAGTAAATTTTGAATTTAAGAATGTGTCAAGTGTATCTGTTAATGCACTACTACTTAGGTACTTTTCACTTGTCGCTTGTGAACAGGTTGTGTATAGATTTGTGAAAATTTACAAATTTGCACTGTTCGAGTGTTGTCGTGTTGGAGAGAGTAAAAGTCATGAATTTGACCTTAAACATAATCCAAGTTGAAGTGTTGCATCATTTTCAGCCCTCTTTTTGGCACCTGTACTTGGTAGCAGGCCAAATTGACAAAGACCATGCAGAATAATGTAGTAATTAAATTTCACAGCAGATAAAGCTATGTAGTCTCTGTAAGTAGGTCTAGAAAAAAAAAAAAGGTATTGGTAATGGTTATCAGCCAAATACATTTTAACATAACGACATATCAAATATCGGCCAAAAATCCAATATCATGCATCCCCATTCAGAACATTTGTTTCTGTTCATAATCTTTGTTTTTAGTTTTGTTTTAAAACAATCAAGAGCCTAAAGGACATTTCTTCTAAAAATATCCTTATAAACTGCATCTGATTATCACTTTAATTTCATTACTATTTAAAAAAAAAAGTTTTTGATAAGCACATCAAGATCAAAATCAACATGAATCGCAGTTTATGAAACTTTTGTTTATAATTCTGTACAAGCATAATCTAAAATGAGTTTGTTGTGCACTATCAGAATCAGAATTATATAAATTATTATTATTATTATTATATATATATTATAACATCCACATCTGCAATACCAATATATACTATTTGAAAATGACTTCTTTACTTGCTGATATCAGTTTATTACAACTTAATTATTGTTTAATGGTTCTTGTCGTTTCCTCCCTATGCTATTCTAATGAGTTTTTGGAGAATGCAGTTTTAAAATGCTTTGTTTCCATTTCATTCACTTCTGCCACTTCTATCACATTATTTTTTTATGATGCATCACAGACTTTAAAGTAAGTAGTAACACAAAAAAGCAGACAAATGATGAATTGAGATGGATATCACATTGAATTATGCTTAATGTACATCAAACACCTGCGCTCGTCACTGTCGAGTGAATAACAAAACTTTCCCCGCTACTGAGCAACAGTCATGCATCCATTAAAGCTGAGGCGAGGCCGGGCTGTAGCTGTGCATCTGCCTGTGTTAATCCCAATCACATTCAGCCCGAGTGTGTGTGTGTGAGTATAACTGTGTGTGTGAGATATTCTGTCAGGAGCTTGTTAATGCGCCAGCTGGTCGCTGTCTCCACACCTTCCCAGATTTCCAGGCTGCATGCAAATCAAATTGTCAACAGAAGCAAAAGATTTCCAGCTACAAAACTGTGCAAATGTGTCCGAGCTGAAAAAGTGAGGCTCACCTTGAAAGTGAACTGCTCGTTGAAGACGGGGTTGAGGGTCTTCCTGTGGACCTTGGTCTCAAATTTCTTCTTCTTGTCAGGCAGAAGGTAGACCTTCACGTAAGGGTCGGATGTGCCTCCCATATCCATAGCAGGCAGCTCTGCAGCCTGGATGATGCCGACTATGAGCTAAAACAGGAAGAGAAGATGTGTCGGTTACCAGAGACTGAATCAGAAATAATTTCTTAGTTAGAGAATTACGTTCCAAGTGTGGCAATAAACTCAAAGAAAACGTCCTTTTAAAGTAACTATTAATCATCAGTTCATGCTGGTTTCTTAAAGATAATTCAGTGTCATTTTCCTGAGACAAGTCTCCAGCATTAGACATTATTAAGGAAGAACATGACAGCTGCTGAAGAGTTCGTAAAGGTCAGGACGTGTCGCACCAGGACTGAGGGAACTGTTTTTCCTCACACGAGGTTTATAATTGATAACCACAGTAGGGGGTCCGGGTGGCTGATTGACCTGCCAGTCAGAGTCTCAACTCAAAGACCTCTCAGGAGGTCCAGCTAGTCAGTCAATCAACTTCCTATCAGGCAGCCATCACACAGCAATCTGGAGACTGACCAGGTCACTCAGCCATGGAGCTCCACAGCTGTCAGGAGCTGCATCGCTTTGCCACTAACCATGGAGCGGCAAGCACACGTAGAAAACAAACTAATACTTTAATAAAAGAGAAACCACCACTAACAGATACAGCATGTGTAACGGACCAGATCTTTGTATTTTGAATTTTTTTTTTATTTTTTAAACAAACCTTCAACATAAAGCTCTGGAAATCTCTGGCTACATCTAACTCAAATAGCAGCCCTTATAACTTCATCCATATAACACACATGCACATGAACACGTGTGGGACACAAAATCCATCCATTCATAATCTTTAGCCGCTTCTTCGTTTTCGGGTCACAGGGGTCACTGGTGCCCATATCCAGCAGTCACTGTGGGAGAGGCAGGGGACACCCTGGACAGGTCTCCAGTCCATCACCGAGACACATAGAGACAAATGAGACAAACCACCATTCACTCTCTCACTCACACCTAAGGACAATTGGTTGGCTTGTTATGTTAATTAACCTCCTAGGACCTGGCATCCACATATGCAAGAGTTCAGGTGCCTGTTCAGGATCCCAGGTATGTTCTGTGTGTTATTGTTATTTTAAATTAAATGTTTGTTCTTGAAATTTGTGAAATAAATTTCTAAATAAATGTGACTTATATTCTGAAGTGACATATATTGTTTTTTCTTCTTCATGGAGGCATTTTTTTGACTGATGCAATTTATGCTCCAGAGCAACTTATAGTCCAAAAAATATGGTATTCCTAGTATAATTCGGTATACAATATTCAAAGTATAATTTTCAGCTTGAAATGTACCAGTGACACACTGTGCAGGGTCTTTTTAAGTGGTAGGACTATGTGTGGCTGGTTTGCTTCATCAAACTGGAAATGTGCTTGTGGTCTTAAGAAAGAACTTGTTAGTTACATTTTTTTAATTACTAGCAAATCTTGACTAAATGTTAAAAAATATTTGTTGTGAAAACACAAGTTTAGACATCTATATGCATTTTAAATATTTAGATATATTAGAATTGTTTAAGCCTAAATCTGTTCAGATCTCTGTGAAGCAAAGATCGTGGCATGTGCACACACAAACAAATTAATCATAATAGCATGGTAATTGTAAAATATACTTTACTTAATAGAAGAGTTGTGGAGTGGGAGTTATTATTCTGGACGAATCGTGTTATTGAAACAGAAATAATATTCACTTTACCACAAAAAAATGCAAAATGAGTCACTGTTAGAACTCAGTTTTATTCTCTCTGAAGTTACAGCAACACTTAAAATGATTAAATACTTCCAAAATGTGTTGTTCTTTGTTCAAAGCTGTCAAAGCCGATTCATTCTTATACAAAAAAAAAACAAAACAATCATGGACTATATTAGTCAAAGTTTTATTATGTTAGCTGCTGGAGAAAGCCAAGACATCAGCTTCAGAAAATAAAAGGACCTATTGAAACCCTAAATTATCTCTTTGTAAAGACCTGAATGCAGCCGGGGACATTGTTCATTGCTGTTTTTAAATTAACCATTTTGTACATAACTCATTATTGAAACTATTTTGATTTGCAGCTTTGACTGGCTTTATTTCCAGTTTATGAACATGAATTATCAGACTAGAATAAATTACATAAATTATCTGAAACAAAAGCAGTATAATACAAATTAATTAGTGTAATATAAAACTAATAAAAAATTATTTCTATTTATGGACATTTTATTTACGTAACTTCAACTTTTAACATTGTTTAGTTATTTTCTGGGCAACTTTGCTGATTTTGTGCTGCAAAACCAAGAAATATTCTGTTCCAAGGCAAATTTGACCAAAATAGGATCTTAAAACTGCCATCATGTTGGGTTTCACAATTAAATCCATGATTAAATAAAACAGGAGCTGATCAAAGTATTATTTGAGTAAAATATTGCTTTGAGATAAACAGTAAAGTATGTTACATTTACACTCAAACTATATATAAGAAAGGGTTAACAGGTGGACAAAAGTTTTTGGGATTTTTTTGAGACAGAAGGAAAATATTAAAGAACCCAGTAAAATGATAATAGTTCAATAATTGTTATTAGACAATTGTGACCAATCTGTTTACGGAACACAAAAATCACAAATTAAAAAGCTAAAACTCAACAACAAGCAGCTTCTCAAACAAAACCCAATACGTTTGACAAAACAAACCCACCACCACTGGTTTTGGAAGACGCTTAAACTGGGTCAATCCCTTATAAGTTTGTAATAAAACAAAACTGGTCCAGGTTTCCTCTCTTCAAAAATGGTGTCCAGAGGGTGTATTCCATATATAGGGGCATCGCTGTCCTTAGCTGCCACGGTAAGGTCGATTCAGGGTTAGGAGAGTGGTGCGGTCTAAACTGAAGGCGTCCAAGTATCTCAGGATTTTGTTCACGAGTGACGGAATAATAAAGTGTGAGATCAACTGATGGATTAATGCAACTTCAGCAATAATGTGCTCTCTGTGCTGGTCCATTCTGGTGATGAGGGAGCTGAGCTGCAAGGCAAAGTTCTCTGCTTACTGGTCAGTTTACGTTCCTACCCTCACTTATGGTCACAAACTATGGGTAGTGACCAAAAGAACAAAACAGAGGATACAACTAGTTGAAATTAGATTTATTTGGAGAATAGCTGGACTAAGGAGAAGTTCAGTTATCTGGGAGAGGCTCAGAGCAGATCCGCTGGTCCTCCACATCGAGAGGAGCCAGTTGAGGTGGTTCAGACATCTGGTAAGGATGCCCACGGATGCCTTACTAGTAAAAATATGAGGGGATGTGCAAATGGTAAAGAGACCCCAGGGAAGACTCAGGACATGCTGGACAGAGTATGTCTCTAGGCCAGCCTGGGAAAGTCTTGAGTCCTACCAAAGTAGCTGGAAGAGGTGACTGTAGAAATACTTTTCTGGACCTCTTTGCTCAAGCTACTGCCCTTGCGACCCGACTCAAGAAAAAACAGAAGATATTGAATGGATGGGTGGTCCAGGTTTATGTAATACTTCTTATATTACTGGTGATATGTCAGCAAAAGAGAGTGGTAAGATGCAGTGGGTGGGATTAACAAAGACAATATTAAGTTATTGGATATATTTACCTTTACAAAGGCAAGCACATAAAAGACATGGTCAGTATGAGACAACTGTTAATCGGCTGAGAACCTTTTCAAAAGGATTTTGGAAAACTGAATCACATTTTTCCTAGTTATGTGTACATACAGAACCAAATCAAAAATAAAAAGCTGTATAACTCTGAAGGTATAAAAGGGAATTATTCCATTGGTCATACACCTTTACCTACACAAAACCATGCTGGGCAGCGGAAACTGATAATGACATTTGGAAGGTGAGCGTAGTAATTTCTGAATCCAACCCATTCTCTGGATTTTTATCCATCAGTACTGCATGGTACACCTTCTTAACAGGGAGAGATGAAGCTGCTTGAAGAAAGATTGAAGAAAGATGTTGCCTGGAAATGTTAATTTCCACTTTAAAGCCTCTGCTAATTGCATTTTTTGTTGTTTGTATAACGCCACACGTTTGTAATACAAACTAAAGAGAAGCGTTCCTTAAACTCATTAACAGTGATGGTTTGAAGCTACAACTTTAACGTAAGTTCCTATAATTATTTCTAATTAAAAGCATTTTCACTTTTTATACAATAATGTAGATGAAGCTAGAATGACAAATTTTGTTTCAATAGGCTGAACCTGGTTTTACTTGTTGCATTAGCTTCGGTGTTTATGCTGGTTTCATTCTTAGCTTGTTTCAGTAAGTTGAGCTTTACACTCTTCCTTTACACCTGCTTCTTATTTGCTAGTAATCACACCCGTTTTGTTTCTATTCGTTGCTCTTTCTGTTTGTATTTACAGGACCTGGTTTGCAGCGGTTTCTCCTCAGACTGTCAACGTTATCAGTCCAGCTTGTTCCCCTTCTAAATGTACATTTTATGTTCTATTTAGGCTTTTACTCCTAGACCCACAAACACTTTTAGTTTGTGCTTTGCCTTCATAAACCAGTTTACTCTTCATCTGGCTGCCTTCTGAGCAGTTCCCCAAATGGTAATAAAAATTGGCAGTAATATAAGATGTATCATGGCTTCAAGCAGAAGAAATCCAGTCAGGTTTCTATCACATTTGAAAATATATATATATATATATTTTTAACTGAACTACTTTATTCTAAAAACTAAACTCTGTGGGTTTAACCCTCTTTCTGCCACAAGTGTGAATTTGTTTTGTTAATTTAAACATCAACACATTTTGGTCTTGGCCAGCTTCCCTGGAAAGTAGAGGGTCATTTATTCTCAGAGACTCTGGGCCTGCTGGTATTTTAAAACAATTTTCAAACGTCTTGGCTGAAGTGGCACGCACCTTTTCAAAACAAGAAAAAAAAAAATGGATCCCAGAGAAACCTTTCCAATATTATACTTTTTATTTATTATTTACTAAATGAAAAAAAATGTATGAGCACAAATATTTAGAAATACTAATTTATATAAACTGATATTGGCTTTGTATTTGTATAAATCAAACAAAATAGAAGTTTAATAAAAATGACAAAAGATGTCAATGTACACCATGTGTTTATATATATATATATATATATATATATATATATATATATATATATATTATTTCTTGTTTCATTATGTCTAAAAGAAGTGTTTGTAACAAAAGGTAAAACCTGTAAGTTTATTGTTTTGCAGAAAATCCAAAAACCTCAAAACAATAATTATATACAATAGTTCTTCGCTACTTCGCAGTTCGTTTATCGCAGACACACTCTATCACGGTTTTTCAAAATAAGACTGGACATGACACACGATACATGAACCGCACGATCGGCATGGATTCTTTATTTAAAATAAATTATTTTAAATTATTTAGCACCTGCTGCACCTTTGTGCAGGCCACACTGCAGGATAAGCTTCCTGCTGCAGCTGATCAGCTGTTCTCCGTGCAGAACGAAGAAGTGGGCGTGGCCAATAAGGCTTGCAAAGAGCAGACGAGGCAGGGAGCTGAAATCATGACATTCTTTTAGAGCTTTAGAGTTTAGAAACATTATTTAGAATATTCTAAGTGTGGGAAGGGTTTAAAATGCCTTCATATATATAAAATAAACTAATACTTACTACTTGTACTACTATTTCTACTTTGCAGTTTTTCCACTTATCGTGGGGCTTCAGGGTACGGCTCCCCCGCGATAAACGAGGGACTACTACATAACAACATAAAATCTTAACATCAAAACTGTGAGAATAAAAAGAACGAAGGCTAAGTGTTTGCACATCTGTGTGGGGTTTTCTGTTTAACTAAGGATTCAGGTCATTTTACAGCAAAAAGCCACTGACATTAACCCTTCCCTTTTTGTTTGTGAGTTATGCTTCAGGCCACTGAGCAGGGCGCTGACCAGATTGAGCACACAAAATGGTGATTTAGCCTTTGGCATCTGATATTTATTTCATAATGCATCATGGTTGTGCTGCAGCCCCACATGAACACACTTCTAAAATTAAGAACTGTCTGCCCTGAATGATACTCACAAGAAAGGAAACATGCAAATTACCTGTAATAATCTGCAAGGAAAAATAAAAAGGAACACATAAGTGCTTTTGGATTGATCTCTCCTAAACATTTAGTTTAAATTCCTCTTATTCTGACTGGTCACAATGCAAAATGCCGACTCTTGACCTGCGAGAAGAGCCATGAATATGGTAATGATGTTGAACGTGGGAATGACACTGTAATTCTCTCCCTGCTGCACTGAGATGCCTCTTCGTGGTTCATTTGAGGTGTATTTGCTTCATGTGGTCTCGTTGCTGCTCCCCGAACAATTTGGGCCTTTTACAAAACCTTTTGCCTCATTAGTGTATAAAGCCAGTGTCATCAACACAAGGGACTGCAGCCATTTGTGGTGGTTAACAGAGAGGAGCAATGCTTTGCCGTGCGGACGTGCCATTAATCGGCAAGTGTTTTCACCCTGATCTCCTTTCCTTGGGCTCTCTACACAAACACATTGGTGTTTCCACATTAACTTGGTTGGGTTTGACATTTACTGAGCGTTACACCTTCATAGGACATGAGTTCCTTTCTAAAGTGCTGACAGTTAATTAGCGGTGCAGGATTCTGAAGATGAGGCATATTTCATATTTAGGAAGAAAAAAAAAACATGTTTCTACATGCCTTTGAAGTTTACTTGAGGCATTTTAATTATTATAGAAAAAAATACTTCCAGAGGAAAGAATCTAAAATGAAACAGTTTATAAAGCACAATGTTAGTATTATTAGTATGCCAGCTGGGTAATATTATGCAATTGTACACATTTACCTGCATGTAAACGTGACGCGGAAGATGAGATTTAAAGTAGATTGTATGTTTTTTAATGCAAAATATTTTTTTCATTATTAGATGATAAAAATAAAACATTAAAAGGAGTTTTTCCTTCCCACTGTTGCCATTGAGCTTGCTCAGGGTGGGAGACTACGACGGAGTGAAGATTCAACAAGTTTGTTGGCTTCCTTAGATAGAGAACTTTACTAATTGGCTTTTCTATGTATGTGAATGTTCCTGTTCAGTGCCCTGAGACAACTTTGTTGTGATATGGCACTATATAAATAAACTGAATTGACTTGAATTAAATGGTATTATTGGTCCACACTGCCAACAGTAAGTTGGGTTCATTCCCGGTGAGAGTTGGACTCTGCCAAGGTTGTCCTTTGTCACCGATTCTGTTCATAACTTTTATGGACAGAATTTCTAGGTGCTGCCAAGGTGTTGAGGGGATCTGTTTTGGTGGCCTTAGGATTGTGTCTCTGCTTTTTGCCGATGATGTGGTCCTGTTGGCTTCATCAGGTCGTGATCTACAGCTTTCGCTGGAGCGGTTCGCAGCAGAGTGTGACGCGGCCGGGATGAAGATCAGTTCCTCCAAATCCGAGGCCATGGTCTTGAGCCGGAAAAGGGTACAGTGCCTTCTCCGGGTCGGGGAGGAGGTCCTGCCCCAAGTGGAGGAGTTCAAGTATCTTTGGGTCTTGTTAACAAATGAGTGAAAAATGGAGTGGGAGATCGATAGGCGGATAGGTACGGCATCTGCAGTGAAGCGGGCGCTGTACCGGTCTGTCGTGGTGAAGAGAGAGCTGAGTCAAAAGGCGAAGCTCTCAATTTACTGGTTGATCTACGTTCCTACCCTCATCTATGGTCACGAGCATTGGTTTGTGACCGAAAGAACAAGATCTCGGATACAAGCGGCCAAAATGACTTTTCTCCGCAGGGTGTCTGGGCTCTCCCTTAGAGTTAAGGTGAGAAGCTCGATCATCCGGGAGGGACTCAGAGTAGAGCCGCTGCTTCTCCACGTCGAGGAGCCAGTTGAGGTGGCTCGGGCATCTGGTTAGGATGCCTCCTAGACGCCTCCCTGGTGAGGTGTTCCGGACACATCCCACCAGGAGGAGACCCAGAGGAAGACCCAGGACACGCTGGAGGGACTATGTTTTTCGGCTGGCCTGGGAACGCCTCGGGATTCCCCCGGAGGAGCAGGACCAAGTGGCTGGGGAGAGGGAAGTCTGGGCCTCCCTACTTAAGCTGCTACCCCCGTGACCCGACCCCAGATAAGCGGAAGAAAATTGATGGATGGATAAATGGTATTAATTATTTTTTTAGGTTTTACCATTTGAATAATTTTTGCACTCATTCACCATAATGACTGACTGTACATCTAACCCATCACATCAAATCAGGGATTATATTTGGTCAAAATGAAATAAGTACATTTTCAGATTCACAACTTTTAAAGTTACATTGTGATGTCTAGATCATCCTGATATAAGCAGTTCTGGAGATATTACTTGATTTGTTTTAAGCAACACTTAGCTTACAAATTTTGTAAAATTTTGTTAAAGATTGTTTTGTTAAAACCTTTAATAAAGTGACCTGTTTTACAAGACAAAAGACAAGACAAATGTGCTCCTCTGTGATGTTTCTTTTGAGTTTTTTCTGTGAGGATTGTGTGTGTTGGTGTTTGTCATCCGTGTTGTTCCATCTCCTACACACCTGTCTCCTACCCTAATCACCCAAGGTGTTCTTCATTGTCAGTCACAAGTGTTCCTATTTATTCTGTGTCTTGGCGTCTTCTCATTTGTCCGTGGGCTGTCCTTCTAGGTGTTCATGTTTTGTTTGTGCACATCTCGTGATCTCCTCCCTACATGTAAGTTTGGCTGTCACGTCAGCCCCATTTCGTTGATTATAATAAATATTATTTATCCACGAGTTCCCAAGTGTTATGTGCACCTAGGGTGATTAGGGTGTGTAGCAGCTAGAAAAACACAGGGATGACAAACACTAACACACACCAATCCTCACATTTTGTAAGCTTTGTGCTTTTTCAGCACTGTTTTGTTTTGTAAAAAAAAAAAAAAAAAGTTTCAGTTATTTCTTTGATCTCCTTGCGTGAGTCTGCATCCTTGGACTTCCACCATTTATTACAAACATAAAATAAAATATAAAAACTTCTTAAGCAGTTTTATTGTGCTGTGAAATTTTAAAATACAATTCCTTTAGTCTAAAAAAAAAAAGTTTTAGATTAACCACTGCCTTCTTTTTGCAGTTACTTCGGAGACAGCTGCTGAGCAGCGTCTATACCTTTATTGAGGTCAGTGTCACAGAATGTGAAAACTGTCATCCATTCATTATACTTTAGTGCCACAGAGGAGCTCATTACCCGTGTAATCAAGAACCTCATAGAGAGCTGTCACCGCCTCCCACTACATGACAGATCAGCACTGTGAAATGCAATACTGTCCATAAAATATCCCTTTTATGGAGGGCCTTCTCCAAAAGAAACCAGGGTCTGGTTGATTGATCATCAGCAGTGTGTGCACTGTGTAATTTCATTAGCAGCTTTACTGAAAATAATATTTTACAAGTTAAACAGTAAAAAGGATCGATTGTTGGCCAGTTAAAGGTACACAATGCATTTGAAGGTCTGTTTACATTATTGTATTATTTGGATGATATATGTATTGTGCGGTGTATAGTGGTTCTGTCTAATCTCAGGCTGTCAGATCTGTTTATAATGTGAATTGGCTAACCCAGTGAGGGACAGAGCATTCACGCATGACATCTATTATCTGTCGCACGACATCTGGCATGAGGAAGTTGATGTACTCCTCCATTCTGCTTTTTAAAACTCAGTTGCTGGAAAAAACAGACTAAAGCAGATGGATATCTGCAAGGGCTGTATTCAATCAAGTGGAAAAGAAACAAACACAGAGACAAACTAAATCCCAGGGGTGTGCTGTATCTGTTACAAGGCTCAGTGGTAAATGAACAACGATGAGCATCATATTTTTCAGAAGCTTTTACACTTGACTGTGTTTACTGCAGCAGAAAAGCAACAATAGAAGAATGTCATGACAAATATGGGTGTTTTTTTTTTCCTGCTGAGATAAAAAAAAAGTTGAACCTTAAATGTGAAGTGTGACCATACTTACAAAGAAAGGTTCTTTTGCAACAATTACACACACTCAAAAGTGATTCGGAGAACTGATGCTTACCGTGTTCTCTGTGAAATTGTAATCCAGCGAGTATTGTAATTTGCCCAGTTTCTGGTCCTCCTTTGGCTCGGGGTCTTTCTGCGTTTCAGTCAGCCCTGTTTCTGCATCCTCCTCATCCTTCAAGGCCTGAAGGAGACACCCACCAAGAGTCAGTGTCGCCTGGTAGTAGAGTGCTAGCACCCAGCCAGCAGTTCTCCTGCCCAGGTCCTGCCTGCGAAACCTACTCCTGTAAAAACTCCCACTTGTTTCATGTTGTAAATGAGGGAAACAGGGAAGGGGGGAGCAAGCACTAAAACACCATAGCAGATTACATCAGGGCATGCTCTGAGATGCACTAAAGCTCCAGGCCTGGTTCCCTGTGGTGCTTTTTATTAATCTTTGAGAGTTTCTGTCTGAAGGGAGAGAGATCAAATGATGGCACCAGAAATAAGGGCAATGAGCAGGCATTAGAGGGGAAAAAGGAGGAAAGAGAGATGTGGAAAGAAGAAAGACATGAAGGAGAGATGATTCAGGAGAATACAGAGTGACGCAAATCCTTTTGATGTTATTTCAGACTCAGTTTTTTGGGGGTGAAAACACAAACGGGAAGTGTGTAAAGTGGCAGAGAGTGAGAGGTGAAGTTGGCCTTTCTCTAGTCTGGCACTGAGGTGAGGGTAGCATGTGGTGGCAGTGATAGGAGGGGTCAGGGAGAGGTGGGATGATGGGGGAGTTCCTTAAAAGAAGAACATGCGATTGAAGAGGCAAGTAGTTCTCAATCATTCAGCAGCTAAAGTTGTCTTTCCGATGTGTCTCTCTCGTTTGGCATGCAGAGCATTCTCTGTCATACAAAACAGTGCTCTTGAGTGATTTCTCATTCCCATATCTGGTTACAACCTCAAACATACGGTCATCATAACCCTGAAGTTTTAACCCTACGCTGATGTAGCTAGAAGCATCATGCCAGCGGTGGGTGGATAGGTGTTTGTAAAAGAGGGGTTGTAATGTACATCGTGGTCTGCTTCTATTGTTTGTTAAGTTGCTCATGTGAAAGCAAAAGGCTGAACAACACGGACTGGGTTTAAAAAGTTGCCACTGAGCCACTCGGTCTTTGCCTTCTGTGAGTCATCCAATTGAGGCAACACATAAGAAGAAATATACAGCAGGTACAATGATTGAGGAAGTTCCTTAATTGAAAGAAGTGTTATAGGTGTAATAAGGCACCAGGAAAGGTGTGATTGCTTTTACTTGGGTTGACTGATGTAAATGCAAGTGCTACTGTTCAACTTTTTATACCAGCTTCACAAAATTGCTTTTAGTGCCTCTCAATCATTCTACTTTTGCTTGCCACCATTTGCCTGAGGTGTAAATGAAAGATTCAAAAGGCAGGAGACGTCAGCTTGGCACAAAGGTCCGTGTGGTTCAACCTCGTCAATGCGCACCCAGTGTTTCTTTCATACATATATATGTGCATATGCAGGTTGTACGCACATATATACAGCAGATATACATGTACAGTATGCATAGTTACATATATTTGGTTCTATGGGAGTTGTAGTTGTTGTCAAGAGGCTATTAAAAAACAAAACGTCAGAGCAGCAGGCTTAAGATGATCCAACAGCAATTAGGAACCTACCGCCAGAGACCATCCCGAACAGTCATCAGACACAACACAGATAAGGAGGACATAGAAGGAAGAAACACAAATTAAAACAACCACACGCAGGAGTTAACACACTAGAGTCTGGGCACACCCGGAGAAATGACTGCTCGCCTTGGCGGTGGCGGATTCAAAGATCTCGGAGATGAGTCAATTAAAAGACAGACAACCCCTTTTTATTGTGATTAATGGCAATTTAAAAAATAAATCCTGGGTTGTGCGAAGGCAGTCAGTTTATTGGAAACTAATGAAAGTTCTTGAAGTAACACACCGAGTGATGAAGTGCACTGCAGCTTACAAACTTTCTGCTGTTGTAGATGAAAATATTAATTAAAGCAAATCAAACGAGGTATGAAAACACCTTCGTTGGTTTCTCTCTGTGACTCTGATCCATCTCTGATAGCAGAGGTGTTACAGCAAATTACCTGACGGCAACACTCCAACGATGCTCTGTAGGTGCCAGTAGTGTGCCGACTTCATTCTAAATGTTCATGTACAATAATTTCCCATTCTACACAGTTAAAATGTAGTTTAATTAAGTTCGTATTTCTTGTTTGGTGTTGTCATTTCTCTGGGTGGACACCACTTCATTACACAGTTACTCACACTCTTCAACATATGAGCAGGTCCACATAAGACAAAAAGAAACAGGACCCATAAGCAGGAGAAAAAAAGACTAAAATAGTTTATCATTAATCTATAGTTATTCTCTTTAACTAAATTAAATGTATTTTTAAAATAGGGATGTATACAGTTAACTTGGTTGTAAAGAAAAAAACAATACATACAGTTCATTGCAGTGGCAGTCGGTGCATTTTAAAAGGGTTATATGAAGTACGATTTTCAATAAAGTTAATACTAATTATAGTGCTGGCATGTAAAGTTACTGGAAATGCAATAGATCAAATATGTTATATGCAAAGGAAATCACAAGTTCTAGGATCATTAAAAGAAGAAGAAAGAAAAACACAAACAAAAATATACATTGCTAAAACTTTTAGCACTTATTTAAGGAGGCATATAAAATCCTGTATGCTGTAACATGGAAAATCTTCAGTATAATCAAACTTTTGAGTGTAAATTAGAATTAGAAATGATAATAGTTTAATGTTTTTACCTCGGTTTTGGTTCCATCCATGACGTCCTTCATGTTGATGGCATTTTTGCCCTTATCTTTGCCCTTCTTTTTGTTTTTCTTTTTGAAAATCCACTTTTTGCAGATGCAGAAGCAGCAGGCCAACACCAAAATGATGGCCACAAAGGCGATCGAGACAACGGCCCATGACGGCACTGCAGACAAAACAAACAGGGAATGACTTGAGTCCAGATGGTCAGCAGGATCTTAGAGCAAACTGGTTCAAAAACCCAAAGCTGCACTGATGAGTAATTCTTCTAAAAACTGTCATGACAAAAAATAACAGGTGAAGAAAATGGTAGGAAGTAGCGTAGATCTATTTTTGTCACAAACCAAACAATTAAGATCTGACTGGACATTTTCCACCATTTAAATAAAAGTAACAAATACTTTAATTTTAAACTCCCAGGAAACTCAGGTTGCCAACACGTTCTAGCAGCACAGTGTTCAATGATGGTGGATGTTGTGGTGAGTTTGCAGGGTGTGTGTGATAGGCTTTAACGTAGGTGTAACCATGACGATGTTGCGATGCGGTGAAACCAGAGTGCTTTACGCCGTTTTCCCTTACATCTGTCACATACTCTCGACTTCTATATCATCTTCAAAACAGTAGGAAATTAAACTTCTGTGTTGGGATTTGAGCCTTTGTGCTCTCACCAACTGTAATAAATAAAAATAAACTTTTTGGAAAGGCTGAGTTGTTTATTTTTCTTTCTATTTTGTGGATGGGGTGGGGGGTTGCAACGCCTGGAGTATTTTGTTTTTTTGTTGTTTACATTTTTTAAATTTATTTATGCAGATGTGGAAAAGAAAACTTGAAGACAGTGAAAACACCATTAGCATGTCAACTTAGTAACTTAGCAAAAAATAAAACTGAAAAATATGAAAAGTTTACAGCAGCACAGTGGTGCAACTGGTAGAGCTGCTGCCTCTCAGAGAGAAGGTTGTTGGTTCAAATCTCAGCCCGGGGGCCTTTCTGTGTACATGTTCTCTCCGTGCATGCGTGGGTTTTCTCCGGGTACTCCAGTTTCCTCCCACAGACCAAAAACATGCATGTTAGACAGATTGGTAACTCTAAATTGTCCCTAGGTGTGAGTGAGAGAGAATGGTTCGTCTCTGTGTGTCCCTGTGATGGACTTGCGACCTGTCCAGGGTGTACCCCGCACCTCGTACAGTGTTTGCTGGACATGGGCACCGGTGACCCCCGTGACCCAAAATGGAAGAAGCGGGTAAAAGATAATGGATGGATGGATGAAAAGTTTACAAAAATGGAGAAGTGCGTAAAGAAGGTGGTTGTATGGATGGAGGTTACAGAGGCAAAAGCTTATGGAGAGAACCTTCCATGTTGTCTAGCTCCTCTTGGGGAAACCCAAGATGTTTCAAGACCACAGAGGATATTTAGCCCTTCAGCAAATGTATGCAACACCCAATTGACTCATTGATGCTGAGGAGGAGTGGCTCTACTCAGTGCCCCCTACAGATGCCAGAGCTTTACTGAACCCTGTCATACTCTGAACGAAACTTAGTCGATGGTAATTGAGGTTTTGTTTTTGTTCAATTTTATTTTTTAGGATTCATAATTAATGACCATGGTTCATGTTGGAACAAAAAAGAAGCAGGGAATTTTATTTTGGGTTTACTCTTTCTTTACTACAACAGACTGGAGGAATAGTCATTGCTGCAGATGAAGCCCTCGTATTCCATCTCTTTCCATAACTTGCAATCACTCACACAAAAAAGACAAGACACCTGAATTCCTCCACTTCAGACAGAGACTCATCTCCAACCCAAAGGGAGCATTGCATCTTTTTCCATTCAAGAACCATGGCCTCAGACTTAAAGAAACAAACTCTTATCATAAAAGCCTCGTACCACTTCAGAGCTTCCAGGAGGTCATGGCTTGAATCTTCTAACAGAACCACATCAGCTGCAAAAAGCAGAGATGAGATCCTTGGGTTTCAAACAGAAACATTTATCTCCACCATTATTCCTTAAGACCATGTCCATGAAAAGTACACACAGAATCAGCAACAAGGGGCAGACTTTGTAGAGTACAACCCACACCTGGAACGAGCTAACTTGTGAGCTGAGCATGCAGTTTTTACCTTAGTTACACAAGAACTGGACAACCTACTTCATTAGCTCAGAAGCCTTCTCCAGGTCCATAAAACTAATCTAGACTGGATAATCTTACCCTTTTAGTAATTCTACCTAAAAAGATGTATTACAGCAAAAGTCACACTGCAAATATCTTATTACTACTTAGTCACCAAGAGCAATGTGAATTTGATTAAAAGATATATAAACAACTAAAAGTCATCAGAACAAATCTAAACATTCAAAATGTTTACACCTGACCCTAATTTCAAGACCTTTCAATATTTCAAATTATGAACTTGAAACTTTTATTCTTTAAACCAGGGGTGTCCAAACCTGGTCCTCAAGGGCCACTATATGCAGGCTGTACTTGTTTCCCTGCTCCAACACACCTGATTTAATGACTGAACCACCTCTGCAAGTTCTGCAGAAGCCTGCTAATTACCTATTCATTCACATCAGGTGTTTTGGGGCAGATAAACCTTGAAATGATGCAGGACAGTGGCCCTCGAGGACCAGGATTGGACACCCCTGTGAAACTGTCACAATTTTGAAAACTAAGTTTTAGACATGGATACTATTTTATGCTCTGATCAAAAATGCTCAAAAGGTAATAAATTCTAACATGACGGAGACACATGAGATGTTGCCCATGTCCATATGCTGCTGGGGTCCTTGGTGGAGCTGAGTGGAAAATTTGGGACAAGCAGCAGTCAGGCTTGTCACATACAAACTGTCAAACACTGTAACTGTGTAGAACAGTGACAGCCAGCTGCAAACACAGTGACACCTATCGCAGCTGGAGTCTGCATTCAGCCTGAGCTTCCTGCTTCCTGTTGACACCAAGGAATACAGCTTACACCAAACACAAACACAATAATAAAAAGGGACAGGGGTCTGCTTTAAGCACCAGCGGGACAAAATGTCCACAGTCCAGATGGGCAGAAAATAATGAGAAACCTCACAAGAGACTTCTCTCTTCAGCAGTCACAGTCACTGCTCCTTTATTCCACTCAGCGCACATCAAACACCTGGCAGCCTGCCCCTCATTATAATGGAGAGGAACAGTGAGACACGTTTAAAAGCCCATTTTCAAAAACCGCTGGATAAAATATAATCGAAACAATGGGCAATAATTTCCAATTTAATTCAAACTGGCTCATTTTAAAGAGAAACTGTCACAGGGGCACTATAAGATAGAAAAAGTTTTGAAGAAATAAAAAAAATATAATAAACTAGACCAAATGTAAAACTAATTAGGTTAATTGGCAACATGCCATTAACATGATTGGCTATTAAAAACAATCCCAGAAAGGCAAAATCTTTCAGTAGCTTAATTGTGGAGGGGCTCATCTAACCACAGTGCCTTGCGAAAGTATTCGGCCCCCTTGAACTTTTCAATCTTTTGCCACATTTCAGGCTTCAAACGTAAAGATATATAATTTTAATTTTTTGTGAAGAATCAACAAGTGGGACACAATCGTGAAGTGGAATGACATTTATTGGATGTGTCGAACTTTTTTAACAAATAAAAATCTGAAAAGTGGGGCATGTAATATTATTGGGCCCCTTTACTTTCAGTGCAGCAAACTCACTCCAGAAGTTCAGTGAGGATCTATGAATGATCCAATGTTGTCCCAAATGACTGATGATGATAAATAAAATCCAACTGTGTGTAATCAAGTCTTCGTATAAATGCACCTGCTCTCTGATAGTCTCAGGGTTCTGTTCAAAGTGCAGAGAGCATCATGAAGACCAAGGAACACACCAGGCAGGTCCGAGATACTGTTGTGGAAAAGTTTAAAGCCGGATTTGGATAAAAAAAGATTTCCCAAGCTTTAAACATCCCAAGGAGCACTGTGCAAGCAATCATATTGAAATGGAAGGAGTATCAGACCACTGCAAATCTACCAAGACCCGGCCGTCCCTCTAAACTTTCATTTTGAACAAGGAGAAAACTGATGAGAGATGCAGCCAAGAGGCCCATGATCACTCTGGATGAACGGCAGAGATCTACAGCTGAGGTGGGAGAGTCTGTCCATATGACAACAATCAGTCGTACACTGCACAAATCTGGCCTTTATGGAAGAGTGGCAAGAAGAAAGCCATTTCTCAAAGATATCCATAAAAAGTGTTGTTTAAAGTTTGTCACAAGCACCTGGGAGACACACCAAACATGTGGAAGAAGGTGCTCTGGTCAGATGTGTAGTGAACTTAATCTGGGGTCAAGACTAAGCCTAAGGTCAAAACTCTTGACCTTAAGAACCTTGTGGGACAGGAACTGTCATTTCATTGATTTGAATCCAGAAATACAGGTTCACCCATCCTGAGACTTTCTTTCTTGAAAATTCAAGTGGAAGAACACTCTCTGTTCTATTATCATTACTATTTTACAAATGTTGATAATCAAAGTGTCTTAGTTCAAACCATTTTAGATGTTGCAGTGAACTAATCAATTTTATTAACTGTGTAATGATTTTTAATTCTCATGCAAAGTTAGAACTCATGTTAAAGCTATTACAGAGTAATTATGCATTTTCTGATTTCTGTCTGTGAATGAGCAAAGTGTGCGTTCCAGGGTCAGGAAGAAGCAGACATGCGTTGGAACAACTGTCTTGTTTATATCCTCTCAGGGGGGTTTTGGCACCTGTTTCTGAAACTCGCCAAAACAAAACTCTCTCTGTCTGTGAGAACATTTCTGATCTGTTCCATAACAATTCTTGCTGCATTCTAACCTTTTACGTCACAAAACACACCCCGTCTGGTCGGTTCTGGCCAATGGGAATACTCCCGAATAAACCGGGAAAAGGGCTCTTTAAAATGTCGGTACTTCCTGGTCTAACGGGTTCTGTGAGGGTTCTACTCGGTTCGGTTGAGTTCAGTTCTGTTCAGTTCTGTGCGGAGAAGCCCAGTTCTGGGGGCCGGGAAGATCCTGACATGACGACAGAGCTCTTCCGAGTTTCATGGGATTATAACATTTTCCACTGAGGTGAGCTGATGAGGGACAGAATCTAGCTGCTACTCCGGAGGAGTAACAGCATCCTACGGAGACGCTGAA